TGTGTGTGTATATATATATATGTGTGTATGTATGTATATCTGTATAGTTATAATCACCTCAGTGACAAAATTATTAGCTTTTAGCAATCATTTGGTGAGACATCTTTATGCACTAATGGGACTATGTGCATATGTTAGTATGGAACTGAGTAAATGGCTTCTTTGTACTGTCTACGAGTATCACCAGTACACATGTTTAGATTTAATGACTCCACTGTGAGCTGAGGTCCTGATAACTGTCTCTGTGGTCAATGCACTGAGCTGCAGAAACACTCGAGGCAAAGGAGAGCAGAGCTGAATGCAGTGCTCTAAGAGCTTTGGGAAGTTAATTATGCCCTTGCCATGGAGTGCTGCAGCAGTGGTCCTAGCAGAACTGTATGTTAATCAATACTGCCTTCCTGCTTCCCTCATGACAGAATGTGTCACAGGCACTAAATTAGCGCTGGGAGGCTGTTTGATCAATAGCTATAGACTGTGTGACCCAAGGGGAAGTAAATTAATGGCTATCCATAGCAAAGGGGAAGTGTTTGCAAGCCTGAATGGGCAATGGAGGCAAAGATGGGCCACTGTCTAACTCATGTTTGGAGGTGTTAAGACATTTATATGTGCCAGGAAATGAGGTGAACCAGCAACTGATACACCTGCTTGAGGTGTTTCAGATCTTATCTTGCCTTTCTTGAGTAGCGCTAGCTTGTGTGGTGCTCCAGGAAAACCACTGGCTCAAAATATAACAGCCTGAGAAGAAACTTGAAATGTTAGCAATTTCACTTCCTCGTAAACAAGTTTTCTGTTACTTCAACATCTAACTTTGAATTTGAACTTGCAGACTACTAATAGAAAGTAAGAGGATCACATCTGGTTTAATTTTAATGAGGGTGCATGTCTCTGTGTGGGTCTGTATGTGTGCGAGAGAGGGTGAGACAGAAAATGATTAAGTAAAAGAAGTGGAGATCAAAGTTGATTATATGCCTGCTGCTACTGGTCACAGGAGTGGTGCTGAGAATAACACAAAGTAGTACATCAAAGAAGGGGACTTTTTCCTCATTATCCACTCAACTGACATACATGTGTCATGATGATACAGCTACAACTACTTAGTTTCTTAATCAAAGGAAGCCACAGGAGTATCTATGCATATGGTCTACTGTCTCAGAGGTTACATATATACTTGTGAGGAGGGTGTCACCCACACATATCTAAGGATATATTGAGCAATCTTGTGAATAAAATAGGCGATGTAGCAATACAACTATGTACACACAAACCCAAGTCTGATTTTAACAGTAATGTCATAAAGGCCTGAAGTGCTGTTTTATTTCACGCCTCTGCATGCATGCATACATTCTTAACTAGTTTCTGTGTGGCTGCTGATTTGCATTGAGCACATTTTCATTTTGCAGAAACAAATCTCTAAAGCAAATCTGTTCTTCACTGCATCTGTAATGCTCATTTGCTTGCCGCTGTGGTTTATTTGATGTGCACTGAGCAAAACTTTGGTGGCCGTTGGTAAGACTGCTGCAAACAACATCAGGAACTGCTGGTTGCTTGAATGCTCAGCCTATTCAAACATTTAGCACCACTTCTGTATATAATTAACGCAGACATCATTTGTCCACCATGCGTGGAAAAGCATATTTGTTTATGTAACTTTAACTCTATATAGTGCTCATTAGTGTATCTTGGCTGTGCATGAGTATCCATATGCAGAAAAAAGCTTTTGAAGCTACTGTTGCTTGGCTTTGTGCAGATTTTGGGTGGTTTCTTTCAGGCTTAAAGTCTGTCGCTGAATGCAGCTCACCTCCTGCTGATAACAAGGCCGCAGCCCACAGCATAAGTTGTTGACCTTTGTGAAAAATGTGAACTACTGTTTGGCTCTTTTACAGATTACATTTTCTTTGACATTGTAGCCATACTACTTTACCACGTGAATGAAATTGTGGACATACCACATCTAAACTCTTTGTCAACATTAGAGTTTATTTAGAATTTTCAGATCCACATAATTAACATGATACAAGTACAAGTTACTTGACAGGAATATGGCTAGTAAATTCTGTTATTGATATAGTGGCATGGTCCCTAAATCCATGGCTTAAAGGACCCTAACATACGACATGTGGAGAAGACCCGAGGGGAAGAGGAGCCCCAGCAAAAGCAAAAGAGAAAGAAGAGCACAAACCACCCACACCATGAAACTGTCTGATTCAGACTGCTCTCCTAAACTAATATAAGCAAACTAAACTAATAAACTCAAAATCTAAAAGAGGCCTACTCATAACTCCCAACTCAACTAATAATTAAGAAGTAAATGAAGAGACGTGCTTGAGCTGAGAGTGTGCTATACGCCCGCCTCCTCTGGGTTGCATTTGCAGGTGTGCAGGAGGGATGAATCAGAGAGGAGAGAGCAGGTTAATGAGATGATAGAAAATAGTAACTGGGTGGTAAATGTGCCGGGGCATTGAAGCGCATATAAAATATACAGACGGGCATTAATAAGGTACGCTGTCAAAAAGTCCTGAGAGTGAGCTGGGGAAAGAGTTGCATCTTTGCAGGTGTCTCTGAATATGCATGCACATAATAACTCATGTATAGAATGGATGTATTGCTTTGTTCATGCAGGAGCGTGGCAGAAAAAAACAGTTGTGCTTCTGCTCATGGAAAGAAACTCACTGGATTTTAGACGAGGCTGGAACAGATGCCTTGCAAAAGACACACAACATTTTCTGTGCATAGCCACAAGAAACACAATTATTTCCCCTTTTCCCATCTCCTTGGATGCAGTAATAAACTACTTTTTCTATGCTAACTTAATGAGTTTGCACAGGCATTCAGGTCTTTTTTCATAAGTCTGACAGAGCTGAATATGGCCCTGAGGTTTGTGGTTTTTCTGCATGCCTGTCTAAATTTGCACTCTGTTTGACTTGAGGGGGTGGTGCCTTTGCCTTTTTTCAATTTAAATAGATTTTCGTGAAACACCTCCATAATTCAGCCTCACTTGTTCTGCAGTCCATACCCCCCTTTTCCCCCCAAATACGATACAATTTTCTACAAGTATTGCAAAAATATATTCTCCAAATCTACCACACTAATAAATCAAAGGAGCT